CATAAAATTGCACAATGTATAAATACTTGTGATAACATTACAATTAGACAATGGACTGCTTTAAATTTCATAAAATATTCAAAGACAAATTTCGAATTTACAAGCTGTTAATAGAACATTTTATAGACTTATGTAATTAATCGATCTCTTTGTCAGGTTTAATTAGATTTTAAGATTAAAAATAAATTATGTATATTCGTCAAGTTGTCAAATTAAAATACATACATTTATAATTTGACGACACACAATTTCAACCTATGTTCACGTTAATTCATGATCATCTTGTATATAATACTGCTCGCTTTCTATTATGTTTAGAAGGAAAGCACATTCCTATACTAGGCAATGTTTCATCAAAGGTAATGTTAATCTCGTGCATTCTGCGAAAGGAATATAACATCCCTTCTGATGTGATTTGATAAAATAATTAGGATTTAAACAATTTCTCTGCAACTGTAATTATTTCATCGCGTATATTTGTAATAAGTAGGTACAGACTACGTATGTACATACATGTCTATCCGTACATGATGTTCAAACGTATAACTAATATTCCTTTCACCGCATTTAAACATCTTACTTGCATGATATGTAAAATGTTATGAGAAGTAAATATCACGTCCAGTCATCAGTATTGCACCGTATCATTAAAATACGATTTAATATATTCCACATCACGTACTTTCACTAACCATATAAGTTTTAATTTTATTATGTAAGTTATATATTTCTCTTTCTCACTTTTCTCTGCGAATATCGTTATGTCACGGTTCATCTATTTAAAAAAAAGAGAAAAAATAATCACAAAAAACATCAATCATTATTTATTTGTTGAATTTACAAGAAAATCGTAGATAGATATATATATTTACAAATTGTGTACGTCTTACGTGCAAAAACGGCCAACCTTACTGAAGTTCGCGTGATTGTTAACATTTAAATTAAAAGTATAACAAAAACTATGATATAGTGCTAATTTAATTATTTATCAATTTTATAGACATGTATATTTAAAATCCAATATATAATACGCAACTTTTATTTAAAATTATGACAGTAATGTTATCATCCGAGTTTAATTATCAATGGAGATAATAACTGTAGAAGAAAAATTGTAATTTTATTGCAATATGTAAAATATTATAGATGCATAATTATTAATGCAGTATTTAAATAGCAAAAAATCATAAATTTAGTAATACATTATATAAAATTTGTGTTTAAGGGGATCTTTAGACATCTTACACACAGACAATTACGTGTCATTGACACATCACTACATCAATATCTTACTCACGCACGCCACTATATGTAGATTTTTGTACGTAATTATGTTTTAATTAGACATCTAAATCTAATTTTAAGAACTCCACGCTGTTTCTTCATGCAAACTACGTGCCTGTGGACTACTATTTCTTAAGTACAGATTGCGCAGCTTTTATATAAATTATAAAACAAATGTTGTTACGACACGTGCAACGACTTGACAGCTCTGGACTTCTGGAGTGCCATATTGGACTAAAAAATGGTAAAGAAGAACTCAGTTTTGAAATTTTTTATCGTTTTCAGCATAAATTCTACCTCACAGGTACGTATTAATGCGTATACTTTAATTCTGTAAAAGGATTTTCGAATCTGTGAATGACAAAAAAATATTTACGATACAAAAATTATACGATTCAGTCGGTAATACAGGAGGCTTTAGGATCCCCTTAATATTCGCAAACTTATATCAATTGTCGATATTGTCATCGTTCTTCAATTACCTCCGAGGACTTTATTGTGGTATTTATATCATTATTAAAAGTAACTTATGTGTGTGTCTAATACTATCTTTAATAGTATCTTGTCAGAGTGTCTTAGGAAAAAAGGGATTCACATATTGACTCAGATATCGTGTAGTCTATCAAAAATCATATTACAACGATTAATTAATTAAAAAAGACACTGTTAACATTTTCTACTTTCTATTATTTTGTTATAATGATAATGGAATATTTAAGAGCAACCGCTTCAAAGATCGATGTAGGTAAATACCTCAATTTGAATTTATCCTTCAATCTATACGACTATTTTTGTACTAAAAATTTAAGATCGAGTGACAATTATTTCAAGAATGAATCTTTAAGAATAAATTTTCACTCTTTTGGAATTAATCGGTCTCTTATATAATCGAGTGAGCAGCTGCTTCACTCGATCAGCCAAAGTGATTTAAGCATCGGATGATAATTCAATGCAAGATGCATTGAACGTCACTTCAATAGAGTAAATTCTTAATCGCTAGGAGCGCTGCAGTCGTTTTGCTGTTATGAACGAGACGGTACCATCTTGGTTATCCGTTACATATTTCAGCGATTTTTGTTTCCGAGAGACAATCGACCTCGTATTTTATAAGACAAACAAGTGTGAATTATTTGTTTTGTGTGATTGTGATTAATTGATTATGCATGCATTGTACGCGATGAATTCGAACATCCTGCCACAGGTAAGCATTATTATTTATTGAGGAAAGACACGTGAATTCCATAATTTCCCAGCAAGTAGATATGACTGTAATAGAAATATGTAAATATCATTTTACATCTATATTAAACCTTCATTTCTACAATTGATTTTGCGATTCACGAAGATATATGCATATCCATTGCTCCCATTCCACTTAGCATAGCTGAAAACAGAGCGCTTTCTCCTCATCCGGATATATGGCTACGTTCGAAAACGTTACTCGGTTCACTCGGATGCCTTCAATACCTCGGATGCATTAAAGACTATATCAGAATCTAGCCATGAGCGGTCTTATCAAAATTCTAGCGAAGAGAAAAATATATTGTATAAGAGCGTCTAACACCTTTATTACTTCACTTTTCAGCATCAACACAATCCGTGAAAAAAAAATATATACAGATTTAATATAATTAAATATAAATTTTATTAAAATTTAATATAATACTTATTAACAATTCCAATAAATGTGGTTTTATTAAAACCTTATATAGATTTAATTTGGACCATATAATGATCCATATTAAGTTATTAATTCAACTTATTAAGACCTTATTAAAACTTATTAAAACTTGTTAAGACCATATTAAAACATATTAATTCAACTTATTTAAAACTTATTAAGATTTAATTAAATATATATAAATTGGACATTAATAAGATTTAATAAGGACTTATTAAACTTAAATAAGTTTATAATATAAACTATATTAAAAATATATATTTATTTATAAGGTTATATAAAGACTTTATAAATTCTTTATATGAATTTTGATGAATCTTTATAAAGAACTTATAAGACTTTTATTTAGAATATATAAATTTTTTTTTCGCGGGAACGCACGCAGAATGTTACAAAGATATTTTTATTTTAGTATATGCTCTATATCCCTACATTCTTAAATCCATAGTTTAATAACCAAGGAGCTTAAATAAATTAAAAATCGAATTTGAGATATATAGGCCGCGGTCTAAATACACGACGTAAACGTAGCCATAGGATCTTTAGGATGCATCAACTTGTTCTTGTTTAACAGTACATTAGATGAACAACAATAACAAAAACGATCATAGAGGCGACCCGAGCGATATTTCCAAACGCAGTCTATATGATCTCTGATAATTTGGTGCGATCGAACTATACATCTGATATACATATATGTATATTAGATACGTGAGTGACTATAGCATTTGCACAGAATACTCGTCATTCGAATGTAAATCACTCTTCATTTAATGATTTCAAGTATCGAGTTGTAATAATTACTTTTTTAATTTTTCCATCTCTTAAAAGAGTAAATATATCTCGGTCGCAATACAAATTTTGTTATACTCGCAAAATCTACAAATCCAACGTTAGTTAGCTGTCAACACACCATTTTGGCACATTCCGATATTTCACTTTCCAAGAAAACGTAAGAGGCGTTTGCAGAGATATTGGAATCTGGATTTTCCCTTGCTCTGTTAGTCTTATATTGATGAGAGTGGGGATAATCTTCTTAGACCCTTGTATGGTTTTCCGAGCTATTATGTATGGTCATAATATAAGGGGCAATTCTTTATGGATGTGAAATCGCACCTTGAGCATAGCTGCTGAAATGGTTGTAAGAATTGATTGTCACAGTCGTCGAATATTCTCCTCATTCTACTGTAATTGATCAATTTTTACAATTACAAATTTACAACCACTTACAACTACGTTTATGTAATTAGAGAAGCGACTTTATGTACAAATTAATATTTATTTTCGCAGGAGACATTAAATAGTCCGAATGCATTAAATGAATATTTACTTACTAAAGGGGTGCCACATGACGTTCTGAAAATACTGCAAGGTGAATTACAAAAACATGTCAAGTGTTAAAATATAGATACAATAGAAGGAATAAAGAATATAGCAACAATGATTTCAATCTATCAGAAACTAGGTATCTGATTTCTGATAGATTGAAATTCCTTATTCTCTTTCATCAATTCCGATTAACGCTAATCGATGGTTGATTCAATTATCACGATTGCCAACGTGAGAACTAAACACAATTTGTCTCAAAAAAGGAAGAGAGAAGAGACGTTCTGATACATTAAATTAAATTGCTGTTGACATTTCTAAGAGTTGATCGCCGATTAATTTAATCAGAAGTTGATAAAAGAGACCCGTAGACAAAGTTGATTTTTTAAAATATATTTAAATTTAATTCAAGTTGAACTATATGTATGCTTATCTTACAAAAGTTACATTAATATATATTATGTACAATTCAGTACTAAATATTTACTACGAAAAATATTAGGTCAATTTAGTAAATTTGTATTATATCTGCTTTGGTATGACTCAATGAAACCTTTTATACGATAAGTATATACATTTATGTAATTTAATTTGAATTATGTTACTGGCTCCTTAATAGTTTTAATAAATGGAATTAACTTCTAACATATAAAAAAATAGTTAAATAAAAATTGAATATTTTTCACTTTTTGCAGTGATTCAAAATGGCATGATTCTTGAAAGTGTGTTGCAACTTGTATATTTATATAACTCATATCTGTTTAAATAATATGTACATTGCAGATGAATTTGTTGATGGCGAAGCATTTCTTTCGCTAACGGAAACTGACTTAAAAGAACTCAAAATAAAAACGGGACCGAGAAAAAGACTATTGAATTTAATTAACGCAGCAAAAGCAACGGTATTTTTAAATTAACCATAAAAAATAAATATATATATATAGCCAGTTCTGCGAACAAATTCTAACATCGTTATTGTAACTGAATACAGAATTGCATTATTGTCGATGGATCCATCTATGGAGTTCAAAATAATGTTCCTACAATTGCATCAACTTCTGGTAATGAAATTATTCAACAAGTTGACGAGCAACCAAAAAATTCTGTAGTAGATGACGTAAATAATGTTCAAAACATTCCTATTTTACTGCAGCCACAAAATATAAATATTGAGCAGGTATTAATTAGAGTATATTATAAATTAAAAAAAAAATGTCATACTATTGCATAATATATATTTAAAAACACGTAATTCGCGCGTTTTATAAAAATAAATAAATTATAATAAATTATAATATAAAAATGTTTAAAGTGTATGTATTGATTATATTTAGTCTAACGACGAAGAAAATAAATTAAATGTTCGAGCTTGGATTGAAGCATATGATGCTACACATACCAGACAGGTACCATTATTAAGTGTTCTTGATTCTGGTATCGTTGGAAACACCGATCGTCAAGAATTTATTAGAATAGTATGTGCTGAAATAGTCAAATTTAGCAATGATCTGTAAGTTATAATATATATATTTTTTAATTTTTAAAACACGTTGTTCATAATTTAATTATTTATACCACTCTATAACGTTTTTATTTCCAATCTTCTTGAAAGGTATCCATCTAGCCAATTAAAAACAGAATTGGCTAAGGAAATTGTTAAGACTTTCCCGAAATTACGATCTTCATACTCGCCCGAAGGTTATGTAAGTATTTTTATAATTCATATATTGATACTATTGTTTTTAACAAAATTTATGTACATATTTAGGAGCATTTTTATGATAAGACGACAAATAGCGGCTTTATTCAATATCGCTTTCAAAATATGCGAGTAAAATTAGGTCCAACGAAAAAGAAAAGAGCATCGACTAAGCCAGCAATTAAAAAAATGAATATTAAAAGACAGAGGGCACAATTTGTAAAACAAGAATATCTTGATGAGGAAGTATTTCAAGAAAAGGTACATATGACGTTTGTAAAGAAAATCAGCATTTTAGAATCTCTAATTCAAATATAAAATATATACATATTTATAGACTTTTTCTTATAAAAATATTTAATTATTATTGACAATTACTTTCAGTGTTCTGAGCTTATATCCAAAATGCCCAACGATATCAATAAGCCGAGCATTATACAATTATTAGATGAAACAAGACCTAACAGGCAAAGGAGCATAAAAAATTTCGAACATACGAAAATAGATGATATATTTAAATTATATCCAAAACTAAAAGATTACAATGGAGAAATGGTAAGTTAATTGAAGTATGAAAAATAATTTGTAGAGATATACATAATCTCTTTCTTCATTCGATTTACGATATCATACAGAATTCATTGTTTCAGATTCACAGGGAATTTACATCTATGTTTTCAAACAATGATACATTTTTGAGAAAATTTTCATCTTACTATGTGCCCAGAATTTTGAAATTCTGCCACATGAAGAAGGAGTATTTGCTCCAAAAAGTAGAGGATTTTAACGATGGTATGATAATACACAATTTGATTATATTGTTGAATAAGAATACGATTTTTTTCTATAACTAAATGTGTATAATTGGTACTTTTTTATATTTTATATAGATAATTTCAAAGCTCTGGTTTTGTTGCCGGAGCTGTTGCCCTCGCCGAATTACGCAAAACCAAAAACATCTGTAAGCGATTCAAAAATAATTTTCGATTTTGAAATTATTTTCATGAAAAGAGCATACGTGTATGTGTGAAGTTTAATAATATTAATCATATAATATTTCAGAGAGGAGAGAATTCAAAGGGTGCAAAAATTAAAGCATCGAATTTATCCGCTAAACAGATTCCAAACCAAAATTTATTACAATTCGTTCATGTGAGTATTGCAAAAACACCGGACATTATAAACTTAAATGCAGTTAGTGCACATTACATGTATAAGTATATTGTTTTTATTTTTTAATATAGACAATGGAAGATTTAATTGATGAAGTAAGTGATGAAGAAGATAAAATTTTGTCTAAAAGAATAAAAACTATTCAACCGTTTTTGGTGTGCTTCATGTTGGGAGAAACAAAGGAAGGACAATTTTATATAAAGACTGATGAAAATTTAATTTCAGTTGGGAAAGATCCAATAATTGCCTTTGATATTCTTGTTAAACTGCATTATTGTTTTGATGTTCAGTTTGCATCCGATTTACTAACATTTTACGATTTCATAACTGGATGCATTATGGGTCTTAATTTACCTGGTGCTAGTTGTAGAGCTTTACATACTACACTGTGTAATATTAGCTTATAAGTTATCATGCATTCTAATTAAATAATTTCATTATTGTAAAAATTTAAGATTTGGTAAATATTTAGTATAACGGATCACCCTTCGATGACCTTGACCTGCTTAAATAAATTTCCTGCTTCAATATATACACTTAGATAAACGCTTGAAAAGTGTGCGTAGAAGCAGTAGGTACCGCCTCCTGCGGGGGGGGAGAGGCTCTACTACTGTAAAAAATAACTTAACCCAACTCATTCTTTGGTGTGAGGTAGTTCGCGTTTCTCGTGGAAAGTCAAAACCCACGTGCAACAGTACAAGTATGTGACACACTTCCATGATTGTATTGTTGCACATGGGTTTTGATTTTTTACGCGAAGCGAGAGCTGCCTCACACCAACAAATGGGTTGGATTACGTTATTTTTACAATAGTGGAGCCCCCCTGTTGGGAGGGATGGGGAGTGGAACCTACTATATTCACGCATACACTTTACAACATAAAGCGACATGGAAGTTGCGAGCTCCTTTTATCTTTATTCAACATATTCGGCAAACAGCAAGGATGAAAGATACTCAGAGTTGACAGAGTTGAGTTTTGGAACGTATCCCAGGAGGTTCGCTCCCCCTAAAATTTTTTCGTTAATAATGTTTTAACGAAGGATGGCCGCAGGCTCAAACCTTTTGAAGGAAGGTGGTCCGTTATACTATAATAAATACTTATCTAAGATTTTTATATGTATTATTCATGTATTTCATATATTGTTTATTTTATGTATACTCTTGACGCTTTTGTTTTTATATTAGTAACACACAACAAAAAAGAATTACAATTATCTAATATAAATTATCATCAAATTCAAGAACTGACACGTATATGAATGTGTAACTTAGATTGTTGCAATTATCATATTCGTATAACTATAGTGTTGTTTAAAAGTAAATAAAGAATCTTTTTAACAATAAATTGTACATTTTAATCAATATGTATAAGTTAAAAAAAAATAATATACATCTATATTGCATCATCTCAGACTGTCCTCTGTGTCATATTTTTGACCTTTTAAATCAAGAATCTCCTTTTCCTAGTATTTTCTACAAATAATTTGGAAAATATATCTGCATTTCATGACTTCGAAGTTTAAGCATTGAATAAACTATACAATAAAACAATACACAAATATTTTTTTAGTGGACATTCGTTATTTTAAGCAAAAAAAAAATAGAATACTTATATTTTTTACACGTACATAGTATATTTCGATTAATGTATTGAACAAGAAGAGACGCTTATGAAATCAACGAAGACTAAAAGAAAATTAAAATTGATTACATTATTTTGTTGTATCAATATTTTATCAATGTGTATGATTACTCTTTAAAATATTAACTGTTGTAACTATTTTATAAAAATAAATAAAGAAATTATAGTTCCGACACAATTAAGAAGTTACGATATATTCAACATATAACGCATTTGCTAGTATTCACATGTTCTGATTTCGTGACATACCAACTTGCTACTTATGGAATAAGGGAAAACTGAAGAGAAAAATAAAACTGAGAGTAGAATCGACTGTTCTTTCCTTTGCCGAAATGAAAGTTATAATCGTGTATATTATATTATGATTCTTATATATTTATAGAGAAAGTTCTATTAGTTTATAAACCATAAACGTTTGACAATTTTTGTAAATTTTGTATTTAATGAGAGTTCGAACTTGTTTTATTAAATAATATCACTCTTATACTCTAAGTTAAAATATTCATTTAAAAATTGTAAAAAGAGATCAATAATTTTTATAAATTTTATAAATTGTAACTTTTTTTTAATACACTTTGTTTATCTTTCTATAAAATATCATGTTGCATATCTCACTCTACAAAATTAAATATATATATATAAATTGAGTCAAATAAATTAACATATATAATATAAGGGCACAATAATCATATCTCTAATTTATATCTTATTACTAAACTTTCTATTTTTACATAAAAAATATCTCGAGATATAAAGTATTTAAAGATAATATCTACAATTTTTAATCTTGAAGCAATTCTTTCTTTGTAAAATATACTTTATTCGCGTTTTTTTACTTTACGTTTATAATTTTTTTCATATAAGTGACAAAAATGATCTTCGCGCGATCTATGCTCTACCCAACATCTGTCCAAAAATTCATTTAATTGCTTCGGTGAAATCGAGTGCGGCAAGTATAACGATGTGCATAACATTCGCGAATGAAAGAGAGGAAAATTGAAGAGTCATTAAAATCCCCTCTTCGAGCAGCCAATGTCACTTTCACCACCTCGCGTTCCGCTACTGATGAATATAAGACAACAAAAATCTAAACAAACGAAAGATCTTCAATTACTTTACATATTGTAATAACTATTTAAGATCAGAACAATTTATTACGTAATTATCTTACGTAATAATATAATGATTACTCTCGTCTTCATAGAATATTAAATTTTTGCAGTAAAACACGATTTCCTAGGAGATCTATATATATAACTTATAAGTCCTGTTTAGTTTGGATTACCGTTTGGAAATGAACTCGAGGTTTGCCCGAGAATTAATTTCCGCCATCGACTAATACGGAAACATGTATCTTATATGTATCTATCGCATCGCATATCCATCGCTAATCTCTACAAGCCATTCACCCTCCACGACCGTCCTCCCTACCTCTCTCTTTGTCGCTTAACTCACAAGGAGCTCTCTTGCTTCCTCCGATCGCCAGGTAAGCGACACAAGTGAGAAGTGCGAGGCGTGCATCGCGGATGCTGGAGGGATTTCGTAGGTGGTTGCCGCAGCTTCTCGCTGGCGTGGGGATAACTAGAGCTTCGGCTTAAGTCAACTGTATCGCGTCAAGATGAAGTAGTACACACTGTCTCGTTGCGGAGTGCATGCATCGGGTACGCGAAAAACATCGCGCGAATAGAAGCGTGTAAGAGAAGACCCGGAAATCATCGGCCGGACAGCGGAGAACTTGTGCAGTTTGTCCGAAACTCTTGCTTATTAATGCATTAAGGCAGAAGATATGAGACTCTACGCTGTGAGTTAAATCGATTCCTATATTCTTTCTTTCCGCACTATTATTGAGTGTTTTAACTAATTAAATTTAAATACGACAAGAATAGGAAACTTTTATGTTTTACATTTAATATTTTAATGTTACGTATTTATAAATACAAAGTAAATTCTGAATTCTGAGTAATCATAAAGAACATAATGAATATAAATAAAGACAATAATTGAATGTAAAATAAAATTGTTTTTTTATATATTAAATTTATTCATGTATTAAAAAATTAATTTTATAAATATAATACATAAAGTATAGTTTTATCTATTAATATATATTATAATCTATAATATTATATTATATGATACGATTATAGATATATTACTGTATTAATGGAACAATTTAAAATTATCCTTGTTTAATTATATATTATGTTAACTTTTACATATATACATATGTGTTTATCTTCAACTAAATTATATTAATTATAATTCTTTAAGTTGATAAATAATATAAAATGTTAAAGTCATTTTTATTAAAAGAGATAAAAAAAAGTGAAAAATTTATTTTAAAAAATTTGTTACACGCTAAACATGAATTTAATTAAATTTTTCAAAATTTTCTTCTATTTATTTTATTATGTTGCGTCGGCTAAAAGTTTGGAAACACACTTGTCATTTTCATACATTTCACAAAAAGAGTTAAATATCTTCACGAAAAAAAAATTTTTGAAAAGTTTTCTACCACGCATTTTAAAACGCAAAGACAAAACTTTAAATCCTCGTTTCAATTTTTTCTACATCTTGTTCACATTAGATTAAGGTAATATTTTTTACAGTATTTTTATCTTGTTTTAAAGCTTTGTGTAATGAAATAAAATTTACTATAAAAATACTTCAAAGTAATATTCCTAATAATGTTAAAACGTTTTTTTGGAAAAAATTGTTATGATTTTTCGCAAAGACATCAACTTTTTTTGTGTGAAATTTTATTGTGTAACAACTTTTTTGAAACTGCCTTTTAACTTAAAATTAAAAAATTTACGGAAAAAAGACGAAATGTTGTTTGTTGTAATGTGCTTGATTCATATGAAGTTTTTCAAATTTTTTTTAAAGATTTTTTTTAAATTGGCTGTGTTAAATAAAGTTTTTAAAAATTACAAAAAGTTTTGTACGGCTCAAGCATATAATAAGTATTCTTTCTTTTTTGTGTTTTTTCTGTAAAATTTTTAGTTCCGAAAAAAATTTGATGCTTGTGAAAAATCAATTATTTTACAAAAAATATTTTGAAGTTAGTAAGTCTACTTTAAAATATTTTTATTATTACTAAATTTTGTCTAATGATGTTTCATCAAAATATGGCGCTTCGAAATAAAATATTGTAAAAAATATCGATTTATATAATTTAGAATACATGAATTAGAAAAATTCAAACGTAGATATAAAGCCCTGTCTTTGCGTTTCAAAATACATGGTCGAATATTTTTTTCCACCGAGATAAGATTTTTGTAAAATGCGAGAAAATTGCAAGTGTTTCAAACTTTTGGTCAACACTGTACATATACATAAAACTATAAGGTAAATATTTATATTTAAAAATTAAACTGTATTAAATTTTATCTTTATGACAAAATGCATTTTCATAAATCTACAGCTATTCATATTTTTACATCAAAATGTAGATAACAGTGTCATTTTTTTTACGTACAGGATGTATCATAATAACTCTTCTTACAGGTTGCTCTTATAACATGGGCGGCATTCATAACTGCATCTTCAGAACACAACATTGCAAATTTGAATGATGAAAAGGTAAATTCGGCAAATAGTATTGTATATTAAATTATAATATAGAAAACTACATGAATCATTAGTAGCGAATTTTTTTCTGGGAAAATTATTAAAATATAATAATATTTTAATATTTACTTAAATGATTATATAATATAAAAGTTTAAATTAAAAATTTTATTTTTAGTTAAGTATAAACCTTAAGCAAGTTCATTAAAAAACGAATAATTCATTAATTATACAAGCCTTGAAAAAATCTAAGAAAAATATTTATTTTATCTTAATTTTTTTATTTTTAATCAAAATTTGATTTAAGGTCTTAGAAAGTGATATTGACAGTGATAAAAAATTATATTAATGGCCGAAAACATGTGTAATTAAATCTAGATCGATGGTTCCTTCACGCGGTAGAGAAAGTTCAAAGATGATTGAGACGCGTGCCATTAAAAAAGTTTCTTTTCATTCCGACAGTTATAGCCATAGGGGATACCTAGCTACCGACAGGCCCTAGAGTTTAGGCGAATAGAGTGCTTACAAACATCCTTAACCTTGGGGCATAGAAATCTTTAACCTCGATCTACTTGCAGCGCGTCATTCAAGTGCTACTTTACGTATAGGCGCGACGAGCCGAGATGAATTACAGCTGGGAGCTGGCATAGGCCGAGTGAATGTCGCGGTTTCGAGGAACCGAGAGAGAAAGAGAACATTTTCACTTGCAACACGAAATAGTTCATTGGCTGCGGTTCCCACCTTTTCTAAAATGTCTTTCGCGAAGCGCCGCGCCGGTTGTTCCATTGAAAAACTCGAACAATTAATTTTGCTTCACATCATTTTCGTCACGGTGTACAATGACAGGATTTATTGATAAAATAAAATATATTTTGTATGTGAATAATAAAAAACCTAAATGTAAAAGTTTAACTAATTTATAAAATCGGAATGAATCTACAGTAATATGACAGTATTTTGAAATTTAACCATTGTAGAGAAAATCGTAGAGTCAAGAAAGTCGAATACTTTCGCGTACATCTATATTTGCATACTCTGGAAATTTTCACGTTTTTGTGTCGGAATGTATTTCGCTTTGTCTGCCAAGAAATTTCTAATACGGTACAAAATTACTTATTTCCAAGAAGTTCTTTACTCTAATGGAAAGATTAATTTTAATATAAAATTTCGGTGTGACCGTTTCTGAGACATTTTAAAAATAAATTTTGAATATAATAATTTTTAATTAAATAGCTTGAGTTTGCCGATTAAAAGTGAACGTTTTCTCATAGTGAGGTAGAAGTCCTTAGATTTCTTTATATACTCTCACACGAAATAAAACACACTTTAAACCGTTTAAGGATAAACGGTGAAAATTCCGCGTCGTGCAGACGCGAGTCGCGTCAGCGGGTGGGTTAATCGCGGTTGTTTCGAGTGCATTCCGGGTGAAATTGATGCAATTGCTGTTATACAAATTCTGAGGCTGAATTAAAAGGCGCGCTCGCGGAACGTTGTCAGGGACAAGGTAAAACGCGACAACGGACGAAGAATGCGCCGGCGGGCATGACGAGCGTGTATTTTCTTCGCGTTAAAAGGAAACTCACCAGTGAAAGTGGCCACACGCGGACGTAAATTCGTCCGCCGGTAATTGCCGTTGTTCCAACGAAATGCACCATCGCGCACCATCGTGTGTTACACAATGTCATGCAACGCAGAGAAAACGAATCGATCAGCGTTTGTCAAGTGTACGATTAATAGCCGAGACTGAAATTTTCCAGTCGGAAAGCTGAGAAAATTACATCTCGATCGACTGTTTCAAGTTCTTGGAAAAAAGTCGCTTAGGTTAATGTCACACTTTGCGAATCTTTAATGTTACCCTTATTCAGTGATATTTACAGTTTATAGGCAAACAAAAGAAAAAGAAAATTGGTCTGGATGTGGATTTGCATTAAGATAAGACATTCTCCACAATAAGCATTACTTTGATTTAATCCAAATATGTAGAAATAAATCATAATAACACAGTAAATTTTTTTTCCTTATAATATGAGAACAATGTCTAGAGAAAGTTGTTTTTGATGTGTTTATATATATATTATAAAGGATAGGTATATTAAATTAGAAAGATAAGACCGCTCGCTCTTTACGCAGCAGACTATTAGTGCTTCGACACAAAGTTATGGCTATTTCTTATTGACGCACACTTGTCCCATAAAAAGCTACACTGTTCGTTATTATTATCTTATTAATGCACCACTTCTCTCCGTATCTGTGTCGGATAAGCCAAACGATAGTCAATTAAGTCTTGATTTATTCGTAATATTTACGCATCCATGCAGTATCACAGATCCGTAACACACGCAAAAAGTTCCTGACACTTCTAGTTTGCTAAGAATACTGTTCAAACTAGGTCAATGGCAAAATAAAATACGGAAGAAATTTGAATACCGTAAAAAGTAGACAAATCTCGAAAAGAACCTTTTAATTTTCTCTAAATAATATAATAATAAATATTTCTTATAGAAAAATTGTATACATGTTATAACAAATTACCATTTGTAAAAAAATAATTCATTTACTAAAAATTAAAGAATTTCATCAAATTAATCTTTACGAGTTTCACAATTAAACAAAATTAACTAAACGAGTTCAATAATTAAACTAAATTATTTTAATTAAGTTCAAGCAGATCTTGATTTATATTTAATTGATGGTTGTAAAACCATAATTTGGACTATGTAATTAATTGAAAATTAAAACGTTGAGAAATGTAACCATTGCACAAATGAAAGTTACAGTTTAAGTAAATTCATAATTTATATAAGATCTATTCGATAAAGAAACATAATAGCTTTAACTCAATCCAATTGAAATAATTCTTTTATATCGAACCGTTTAATTAGTAATACAGAAACATGTATTGTAAAAGAAAGCAAAATATATGGTTTCGGCAAATAAGGAGAAAGTAAAGGGTCCATCGGCATGGATTATTGAGGACGTATCAGCTCCGCTTCGTTCTCGCTGGACCATCGGGATTTACTCGACTCTCACTGGTTTTTCTTTTGCGCGCGGTGCAGGAATGCGACGCATCTTTCTCGTTTCTCCTTTCTTCTCGCTCGAACGCCACAGGAGAAAGGGAGATCGATGCCGGTACCGTAACTGCACCTTTCTCTCGCGCCGGGCGGCCACCAGATGCGTTATTTTCAGACGCCACGCCGATCTCCCGCGTGATGCGAAAAGATCGCCGTGCGGGATTACGACGGGAAACTATACGGGGTGTTGCAGATTCTTTTTAATGGGTGTGTCCGTCCCATATAACCAGAGCTCCTCGCGAGTCTTTTCGAGATCTGGTTAATTATCTCTAGCAATGATAAGCATCTGCTTAGTGAAACTTAGTGACAGTTAGTTTCTTTAATAACAAATTTTTATCGATTTTCATATCCATATCTTTACGGGGCAATAGTTTGCAATCGCATTTTCGAGAAAGTTGGTCGCTTGGATTATGTTAAATGATCAAAAAGACCACGAGCAGAGACTACTCTCTCTTTTGGAATCTTTTTTGTTAAAAATATTTATACAATATGTTATATACATAAATATTATATTTTTAATACTTCTAAAGTGATTAATCACAGTTTCGATTCTAAAAATATTTTTTAATTTAAGAAACTCAAATAAATAAAAAGTATACATAGATTCCGTTATATTATTCTTTTTCTGGTGTCGATATAATTTTTAATAAAACGTTTTATATGAATTACACGTTTAAATAATACTTTTTCAATGTAATGCCAATAATAATTTAAATTTTTTATCACATTTTATATATTGGAATTACAAAAATGTCGCATACGACACGCCAAAGATCCCCTCTTGACAAATTTTCGGATCCGTCGATTGATTACATTTTTTGCATTATATGTGCATTATGCGTGCGTGCGTGCGTGCGTGTGTGGTGTTAGTTTTTGCTTCGCAATAAAAAGTGTGTCGATTTGTTTTGGAATAGTCAAAGCATATGGATTTTTATCATAAATGCGCTAGACTTTGCTTTACTTGGTCTTCTTTTTGCAAAATCTTCTGGGTCACCGCGATTTGCTTCGTTTGGAGATCCATGGTGCTTGGTTACGATCAAGTATCTCATTTCCTTCTCCGGTCGATAACATTGATGTCAGATACCGCAGAAAGAGTTAAAAAGGAAATAAACGAGCGACTTAACGTGATAAAATGAGGAAAGTAATACATTTAATGAGCGTTCAAAATAATTTAAAAGCGACATCAAACAGGAATTAAGGCTGTTGAAGAAAATGAAGAGAAGCGTCTCTTAAATATCAATAAGTTGTACATAACCGGAAAAATAAGTTCTCTCGTACACGTGATTTATGTAAACATTCTAATGAAATCTAAATTAATGAATAAAAAATGATAATTACAATACTATACCTAAACAATTAATGACAATAAAACACATTGTGTATCATATAATATATATTCATATATATACATTATGATAATAAAATACTTTGCTTTTATGTATTTGCAGAAAATACAGTTCCTCACAATTTTTCAATGTAATTTTTGAAGTAAAATTATTCCTAGTGTGATCGCGAATATTTTCTATAGACAATTATTTTAATTAATTAATTTTTTCAGGTTGTCGATTACACAAAGATTTATGATCTGCCGGTGAAGCAGATAGTGCAACCTTATGTGACGAACGTAGAAGAGAAGAGTTCTGGACAAACGGACACCGAAGATCATTCTGATGATTTCGCGAATGTCGAACTAAGTAGATCAGCAGTTCACGCCGACGAGGAGGGAGGATCGAATGGTGTTTCCACGACCTATTCCTCGCCGCCAGGATCAATTTATACGACTCCGCTCGCCAAGACAAGTATCCGTTTAGAGACAACCAACAAGTATCCATTTAAAGAACATTTAAGTCTCGAGTCAGGGTATACCGAGGATGCGTTCCTTGTCGAAAATGCCGGCAGTTTTGGACAAAAGGTCCGACAGGATTATCCGCGTGACAGAACAATTTTTAGGACTGTCATTTCGACCAGCGAGGGCCGAAAGGATAACAAACACACGAAATCTTTCAGCAGTACTGCGTTGCCTCTGCAAAATGAAGATAGTTATAAAAAACCTTACCCATCAACTAGTCAAGAACCATTTGTGCTCGCACTGAAAAAGGAAAGTACTTTGGTAGATGAATCGTCTTCTGATGCTTCCGAAATGGTTAAGTCTAAAACAGTGGATAATTTCGATGAAATTTTCAGTGAAATTACAACGGAAAACTCGCCAGGCAACATTGCTTTGATTCTCGAGAATGATGTCGTGCCCGAAATTCTTCCGACACCACAAGCAAGATTATCCCGAGCGCGTAATGATACCACCAACGAAAAAATCACGGAGAAATCTATGGAACCTACTCAAAAATTGGAGAACGTTGTGAGAACATCAACGACCGTAGAAATCAGTCCTTCGTTTCAAACGCGATTTTCAGGCCCCATCGTAGTGGCTGACTTGCCTGACAGAGAAACTCAGGAGATGGTTGTTGATTATATGGACGATGTATCTGAAGCGTACAAACCAATCGAGAACGCCGAGTTTACTTCGGAGACCAACGCCGGAGGCTCAAAAGTGGCGGCTTCAAGCATAACATCCTCGGTCATGTTGAATCCTTTGCAAGTCGGAATCACGCTGATGAACGCCAATCAAGCTAGTTTGATAGATAATAGTGAGCAATCTGTCGCAGTGGACTATCTGCAGGATTATCCCCAAGACGATCTGCAACGCTTAGCAACTGTAAATAAGGAATTTCTCAAGAACAACGGCAATCAGTCACAGATCGATTATCAAGATGAGAATTTTGAACGTGACGAAGTCGAGAAGCAAGTTGAGGTTGACATAAAAAAAGTCCCCGACAACTCCGTTGAGATTCAAAAGTCCATCGAGCTCTTCCATACCGCGCCAGTGCATGAGATTCATTATCCTCCGGAGTATATTCAACATACGTCAAACCTCGGTATTATTGAAACGAATAATATTGGAAATTGGCAGAAATCAAACCAACCGTATGATCAGATCGAGCAATCAGAATTGCGACCAACTTACGATATTTATCAAGGTAATACATATAATTATCAATTGATTGCTCAATTGTTATTTATTAATCTCATGTCAATTTAATTCTATTTTTTAAACAAGATCAGTAGTTTATAAATATAATTGGAAGTTATTAAGTAAATATATTATTCCGAAAAAAAGAAGAAGAAGAATTGTTTTTATAATTGTATTTATAATTGATTCTTTACATTAATAATTTTAAGTACAGTCTCTTAAGATGTCATAAATCAATCACAGAATCGTATTAGTATCTTAAGATATTACTTATCAATTAAAGACGTCATTTTGACAACTTTATTAATAATAACGTCAAAATGATGACGTGAAATGTCAGTTTGTTACCTGAATATAAGATGATCGTAAAGTAAAAACTATGAATACCGGTTATAGGGAGTTGCTTTAGATTAGACTGTAAAAAATAAAATAAAAATTAATGTGTTAAAATAATATATATTTATATTTTATTTATTTCTTTTTTTAATTATTAATGGTAATCCTTATTTTTATCATCGAAACTATCGCTATTCCGCTTAAAATCTCATATGAGCGCTAAAGTTAAAGAACTATATTAATAATAATAATTTCAAGATGATATTAACTTTCACCAAATTTCCTTAACACGGAAAAAAGTCTATATTACGCAAACTTATATTAACGTGCTACGAGTAATATACTCGCACTATCAAAGCACGCATCAGCGCCACGACAAATTGCCAGTTTTCACCCATACGGTGGTGGAATGCGGTACACAATGCATTAATGTTGACTTCCGTTTCAGGTAATAATGACCAGGACGAAAAGAGGGGTATTAAAGCCCACACATCCCCGCATCTTTCGCAAAAGCTTAATCAGCACGAATACAATGCTCTCGAGGAGGACGTTGGCAGACCGATAGCTTCGATCGTAAACACCAAATATTCATCAAATACTCACGAGCAAACGCCCCTCGAGTTGCAGCCGTTCAAATACAACGGCATACAGCCCGCGCCTTTGGCCCCGAATCAATTTGATGACACGTTATACGAGCAATCCAACGTACGACATAATTTTAACGGCAACGATAACGGCATACCGCCACGCGGAAAACCCGTTGGAGGTTCAACGAAACAAGAAACAACGAGCGAGCTTGTAAAACCGTACGTACCAAATACGTATCAGTACTCGGTGCAGCAGCCACAATCAAATCAACCGTATGATCACCAGCACTCATTCCGATCATCGGAGATAAGGCGGCCGGAAGCTCCGCAACTTCTTCTTAGGATTATTCCCGAGGGGTCGTCTGCGAACGGAGGCTTCCTGGTGCCGATCCCGCGGCCCTATCCGATCGAGAAAATTATCGAGAAGACCGTTCACATGCCGCACTCACGTCCGATCGAAATCGAGAAGAAGATCCCGATGACTGAGAAGGTGCAGATGCCGGTACCGATGCTGCATCCCGTGCACGTGCAAGTGCCGCCGGTCGAGCGTGTGGTGGAGAAGCAGATCCGCCTGCCACACATCTATCCGCTCCACATTGAACGGGTGGTCGAGAAAAGGGTGCCATATACGGTCCAGCGATTAGTAATGCAGCCTCCTCCGTATCCGTTGCACGTGAGACTGCCGGCTTACCCGGCGTACCCGGCGGCACCGCTCAGCCAGCCAACGCATACAACGGTACCGATAGAGAAGACCACGGAGAAGCCGGTGATTTCCTCGCTACCTCCTCGGCCGTATCGTGCGAGTACGGACAGGCCGCTCGAAAGCAGCAGCTCAACCGAGAGCAGAGTTACGAAATATTATCAGAAGCCGCAGCAGGCGATTTTTACTGGCGGAAATCCTAATTTCCATAGTGTTGCCAGTGGCTTGACATTTGTGCCGCCGTCACAGAGCGAGACGAACGTATCGCAGTTCTACAGCGTTCCCTACGGCAGACCGTCGGCATACAATTATAATATCGACGTCGGCAAGAATTACGTTCCCGCGGCACATTTTTCCAATGTCAAATTAGTGATACTGCCGAAGAAGTTTGGCAGTCACGTGATACTGCGACCGCACACGGCCACGACATCGTACGCGATACCATCCTTTGGACGGCAGGTCCTGTACAATCTAGTGGAGAAGGACAAATCGGTTAAGGATGAGTACGTGGGTCCTACGCCTCCGCGCAAAACCACCTCACAGAGCAAAGCGTTCCCTCAAACGAAGTCACCGCAGTTCTCCACGAATACCGCTCAATCGTTAGCCAATCTAAGAAAATCCAGGCAGCCGGAAACGCAACATCACGGAAGTTTCAGACAATCAAAAATGGAATACGGTTTCAAGCCGCCTATGGTACCGTCCATTCAGTACGACGAAAATACCGCTAGTAAAGTAGAGAATTAATGCAATGGTCTATGATAGTAATAGTAACATTAAACAGACGTCGAAAGTACATTACAAGAAATGTTTAAAGGACTTACCGTTTTTTTTTTCAGTATATTTTAAACGTTACTTGCACTGTTGCATTATTTAAATATTTCAGACTGATTCGTACAATTGTATTATGAATAGGAAAGAGCTTATTTACAATATTTTCTTCATATCGATAAGGACTTATTTGCGACACAATTTTAGTTTTTTAATATTATACATATATGTATTTATTATTGAAAATCTCTTTAATCAATGTTGCTGTGTATTTTCTAATTTATTTCGAGTATAATAGTGATTTTAAACTATTTTACAATTTTATTAATGTTATATTTTTATTATATTTTATGGCAAAATGTTGTATCTTGTATTTTATGTTGCATTATCATATAAATGTCTAAAGTTATTTTATTATTATTTAAAACAAATGAGAAAAAGGCGGTAGTTTGCAAATATTATAATATAACATATGAAAAAATTGTATTGTAATATTATTAACCGTAAAGAAAGTACGATTTAATACCATTACTGTTAATACAATACGATAACTACGATAATAGAATGGACGCATGTATAAGTTTTGTACAATATATTTTCTATTTTCATACGTTATATTTCTTGCTCTGTTGTTTATTTTACATATTTTGATTTTATTTTTATTGTATATATTTTATACTGTAAATCTAAATATTTCGTTTATTTTTGCAAACTTTACTATAAGTTCTTATTGATTGTAAAGAAAATAATGCTTAAGAAAACGTACTCGTCGTAACCTTTTTCCACTTCCACTCCCTCATTGAATATAGTATTTTATTAAAAGTACTCTTATATCATCTCTATTCAGGGATAAAATATTTTCTTAAAAAGAAAATCAATTTTTATTTTTCTAAATTAATTCTAACATTAAAATGGTAAGAAAACAAATGTTTTAAACAAAAACTTCATATGATTCTGAAAATACTTTTTAAATATTTTTAAAGTTTTTAAGGTCTTTACTATATTTTTCTTAAGAATTATTATATTAATAAATATTTTTTTATGACAAAATCAAATCATAATTATAGAAAACAAATTTGATTACACGTTAAAAAATTATTTCTAACCTCTTATTTCTAATTAATGCATACTATTAAAAAATTGATAGTAAAATTCTATGAGCATATACATTTTTTCTCTTTTATACTTATTACAGATATATTTTTATACTTATAGCAATTTGTAATAACAATTATTTTGATCGTTGACTATATAGTCTCATTTATATGCTGCAAATTTACAAGTCTCACATTATCATGAATGGATATTATGCCTGCGGTAGATAGCATATAACTATCTATATATTCAGAGACTCAGAGAACTGAATTATCGACATAGATAATTAGAAATAAAAAGAAAAATAAAATTTGTCCGAAATATTTGTATTAACATTAACAAGATAGAACTAACAATTTTATCATTTTTATCTTATTATAGTATCTTAATATAATTTTTATCTCCTTTAATATAATCGATATATATATGTATATATAAAGATTAAACGAATAGTTTATTGTTTAAATTTAAATAAACTTAAAGCAATCTACAAAATGAATAAGCACATTTAGTATTTAAAGTGCGAAACTGCAGCAGAGTTCATTTCATTCTTTTACATTGCCCAATTTATGTTTCACATTCGCCTAACTAAACTGCATTTTTTATTTGCAATAAAATTTGGTAACACTCTTTGTATCTCCGAGAGCATCATTGCGTATCGTTCAGCGAACCATGGCATGATTTTCCGTAATACCAGTATTCGCGAATTACTCCTTGTTGTTTGTCTCGTTAAAATGTCTGGCAAACAGCACTTAACGTAGCATGACGATTTAATAATCTACACGTTAAATAGTTGTATAAATTTTTTCGGACTTGCACATAGATGGGCAGGTAGACATTCCATCAAGTCAATATTAAAGCAAATGGAATATCGAAATTAACATTAAATCTTCCGTGTGTATGCGTCGAATATACAGTATCGAAACCGCATGTTTGATACATCTCATTTCAATATGATTTTCTGTGAAAATATCTTTCTATATAAAATGTAAATATCATACCGTGATTACCTGGCTACTAAATAATCCACGTTGCTGGTGATATACTAACTCATCACAGCTAATCCGAATGCTTAACGTATTGGTTCTCTAAATGCAATATCAAGTAAAATCAAAGAGGAAAAAGAAGAAATCATGAAAATATTAAATCTACTATTAATTAAATAATTTAATGAGAAACGCGCTTTGCTTCTCTTTTCCTTTTTCTATTATTAATCTGAAATACATTTTTTTCACTTACTGAAGAATTATCATTTTCAACCGCATATAAGAGTTTACAAATAAACAACTCGTAATAAATAATAAAAATGTATAAATATATAAAATATATAAATGTATATAAAAATTATGTATAAATATTATATGTAAAACTTCATTAAAAGTAAATTTAAATGTTTAGAGGTTTTAGCGATTTAGAAGGAAAGCGATTAACGGGACACTCCCTCAATTATGACGGACAAAGCTACTTATTCTGGCTTTTTTGCAAGTCATCCGGCATGAACCAGCAATCATCGCTCGTCATTATGCGCACAACAGTGGTGGGATTCCAACTGGTGGTGAGGACGTTGATGAGGGAGAGATTGCGTGACCGCCGGCGCTGCATTGCGAAACGGAATTATCCGCCGTTAGGTAATCATAGGTAAGAAGAGCAAATAGCGTCAAATTTAAATCAGATTGTATCACCGCGCGGCATTCCTGAATGGTGGCTCTTTGGTTCTCCTGTAGAAAGCAAGCAACGCGTGAAACGCATCACTTAGGAAAGTCTCACTTGAGCTTAAGTGCCAGCACGGATACCCCCCGTCAGCTCCGGTAGTCTTTGAAGATGACTGTTGTGTTGCACGCACAATATACGTAGTTTTGTGTAGTAACACCTAATAATAATTTATCATAATAAAAGTATTTGTTATATCTAAAAATTAATAATGTAATATATTTTCAATTTAATAATAATATAAAAAGCGTTCATTATTATAATTGGTAATACTATATAAAATATAATTAGTAATAAAAATAATTTTTTCGGAATAACTACTTTGATGCGCATTTCAATTAATAACAGATTAAATTCACTTCTTAATGTTTTTTATCTATTTGAAGTAGTTTTAAAGGGTATTTTTTTTCTCTCATATAATATACATATACTTTTATGATGTTGCTTGTATTAACGGTAAATATATTTATGAGACCAACTTAAACGTGATTCCGTATAATGCACTGTCAACTTGTTGACAAATTGTAGGATAATCCAGGAACAGAACTTATTTCGAGATGAGCGGTGTGCCATTAAAAACAAATAAACTTCTGCGAAACCGTATACCGTATCGCGTGTAAAGAATGACAATCCGTCTGGGTGGTCACATCGTAATGTTTTTGTCATCCTTCATTAAATCACAACGGTGGTCTCTCTATATTAATATAATAGGTATACAGTGCAATTCAGACGTTACAATGAAAATAGACACAAACTAAACAAGTTCAGACAAAAAACGAGGAAAGTGCCAAATTAATCAATCCTTTTTTTAATTGTTATCATTTTTCTATGTTTATGAATCTCTCTTAAGTCTTTTTGATTATTATTTAATTAATTAATTTAATTGCAATTAATTGCAAGTGAATTTTATATTAACAAAAGCTTAATTTTAATCAGATCTAATCTTAGAAGATTGCGAATGGTCGAACGTCGCGAAAAAATAATAATATGCAACTTAAACTTTAAAGAAAGATTTCATTTTTTAACAACAAATATCGATGTGATCATCAGATATATAATATTTAGTGTACCGTTAAATAAAAGATAACTTTTTTCAAATCTAAACGATAATCTTTTAATAATTTTTTTGTATTACATGAAATTTCAATTTTCAAAATATTCTATGACGTCATAATCTTGAGAAGTTTAAAATTAATATAATATTGCACAAAAGGATTTTTAACTTAAAAAAAAATTGTTTTTTAAAAGATTAATAAAATTAATAATAGATTCAATATTTCATTACAAAAATCTTATTAACCTTAATATTTATATTGAATTCTTTCGATAATTGGAAGTTCCATCAATCTATTTAATCTTGAATGAAGTAAACCTTTTTAACATGTCATGTGGTAGTAACATATGGTAATAAGATAAATGATATTAAAATAGCCTTTCTTTGACAACGTCACCTTCGAATTTCTCAAGATTGCGACATATATAGAGCATCTCTAAAATCATAATCCTATTAAACACGAATAAGAAAAATCATAAGTTACTTCTTTTTCTTTGCATTTTCTTTCTCATTAAATTCTGCTACTGAGCATTCTATTTGCATCTTTCTTATATATTTCTGTTAATGTTACATGAGAAGATAAAGTATGTCCATAATTGGATCCCACTGTAAGCGAAAGGATTAACCCGCCGTTTGGGTATTACGCGGTCTAACTGCTTGACGTAACGAGCTACATACGTTGCATTAGCATATCGTTACGGTTGTCGGTGCACGCCAGTGCAGGCATATTAATATTACGAGTATGATGACACCCCGTTGCTTGCGTTACGCGATGCGGAGATCTTTCAAGGACACGCGGGATCAGCGTGCGTATTCACAAAAGCAGAAAAAAATGAAAGGTAAGAGGAGCGTCGTTAGTAATGCTCCAGATGAGCGTGTGCCCTTCCTCGTGTGCGGTGACGACGAAGAGGATCGAAAGGCAGGATTTACGGAGCGAACGCGCACGCTGGAGGATTCCGTATAATTAAGACCCAATTGCGCAACTCTTTAAACGAGAGCGATGTTACCCGCCTGCTGTGCGTGCCTCTTCGTTGTAATCCATCCTGATCCGGAGGCGTTTACATCCACGCTGTTTGAATCGACGCGTGTATATGTGTACACGATTGTTCACGGATTAAAGTTTTTGTTCAATCAAATCGCGAGGCACTTTGTATTTAACGTTTTGGCTTCAATGGATAAAATAATCTTAGCTAATAAATTAGCTTTTTCATGTAATTTAATAAGTACGAGCGCACACACGCATTATTCGTGGATATTAATGGGAGGAAAGAATGATTTTATTGAGGTATCTTTAGGTAAAAATTTATTTAGACATACATCTCTTTCTGAAAATAATTTTGTTGGACTATGAAAATAATTATAGAGAATTTGGTGTAATCAGCCCTATATATAATTATTTTTAGAAAAAGATCTATATCTATCTAAATTTTTACATACTTCAGCAAAACCATTCTTTTCGTGTATATTTAAGATCTGTCACTCTTATTTGATAAATTAATAATTATTCGAATTATTAATTGAAAATTAACTAAATTCTAATAAAGGTAACAAAACTATATTTTTTATGAGTTGTAGAAAATAACAGATTTCTTAAACACGCGGATTCGTGAAATATAACTAAATGTTCCCCCATAAAGCCAATTTTATATAAATGAATCAATTAAAATTTTGAATTCATCAATTCAATTCTTTTTAGTTCTCAATGAACAATTATTTATTAATTATTACAGACATCGACTTTAGACTGTCTTTATAATATTAATGGTAATTAGTATCAGCTCAACGTCCTCCTACGCGTCTTCTACGCACTCTCCCTTCAGAGTCCATTTACAGGAGTCCTGCGCATCTCTCGGTAACTAATGAGCTCGTTCCCGTGGACCCACTCGTGGACTCCCGCGTACGCGTCCGTTGGTCCTGCGGCTTAATTAAGACTCAATTGCCTAATTAGTCCGCTCGAAGAAGGCGAGCAGCGGCGTATCGCGCCGCGGGCTGTCCCACGCGATGAAGTAATCAGCTTTCTCCGCGGCGGCGTAGACGCGGTTCAAACCGCGGATCCACTCTGCTCTATTCGTCTATATACTCGCTCGCTCGCTCGCTCCTGAGACCCGAAATCGCGCGAGCCAGCCGAGAGAACAATGGGAAATAAAGCGCGGGCTTTCCACACAAGCGCGGCCTCCCTATGTGAACTGGAGTACATGCGACCGCCGTCTCTTATACTGCCTACGCTGCACCGCTCTAGCGAATCCCTCGGCTCGCTATCCCCCGACAGTGGTGGCGGCGACAGGAAACGGATCTTCTCCGTGGAAGCGGAGAGACGAGAAAGGGAGAAAGAGAGAGAGAGAGAGAGTTCTCTATATAAGCACCAGTATGCGCGCTGAAACGTCACCATATTTCAGCATTCAGTCCAGTGCTCTTCTTTCACTTCAAACGGTGTCCGAAGCGTTGTCTCCCGCACCACCACCCATCCCCGCGATCTCTGTTCCCCAAGCATGGATTTGATAGTGCGACAGGTAATGCACTGCTCGACGAAAAGGTGCAGACTCGTGATTCGATAAATAGATCGGTTATCAGTTGGGTTTTTATTTTTCTCTCGAAAAAGCTTTTGAATCCGCCGTGTGGTCCAGGTGTGCTTCCGGGGGTTCCCCGCGCTCTAAGTGTGATAGCCAAACGAGATGATCCACCGTGAGTCTCTGGCAAGGATTAATATCAATATAATTTCGCTGAGTTCAATTTAACCGTAAGTACGCGTAAAAGGAATCTATTGTACATCAAACGTCGTGTTTTGTTTATTTACGAGCAATTATAAAATTGTTGCATGCACTTGTATATGAAATTGTATCAGCGAAATTATGTCAGGATTAATTCTTGGTATCTACTATTTGAGTAAATGCATGCAATTAGTAGATTAGCATTTAGTATTAGTATTGGAGCTTATTTCATAAAACTCTCTCTCTCTCTCTCTTATTCTGACAGAATAAGTTTTTTTCTAACTAGAACTCATATTTAAATAATGTATGTTTCTAATTAATAACATTGTTTGTATAAAATTAATAATTAATTAAGAATAAGAAAAAACTTATCTAATTATAAAATTAAAGTCTAAAGCTGATATTTATAGTGGGTTCTTATTTCTAAAACGTCTTAAATAATGTCTCAAGATGATAATACTCTGTGATTGACTTATGACATCTTATGACTGTACTTAAGATTGTCTTAAATATAAGAATTAATTATGAATATCTACTTAAGTTTAATTGGAAGAGATAGAATTCTTAATGAAGAAAAGTGAGGACAAGATGAAGAATGTCTCATTAGTCAATTTGCGTGTGAAATTAGGTGCTACAAAAATGAAAATAGGATACAGATGTATGTAACACAATACAAAACTAAATTCTTTTTAAAACTTATATAATTAATTTCTCACTACTGTATGTCATCACTATTTATTGAGGAAATTATACGCAATATTAACGTAAATTGTCTTTCCTTGTAATTATTTAATATTAAAAATATTCTGGATTTATGTAATAAGTTTTAAATTTGAAGTGTAGAATTTATTGTGGTTAATGTTGTAACATAAAAATTTTATGTCAAGTAATATTTTCCTGAAAATATAATATTTGACAATTTTTAACATTTAATTGTATTTTACGTATAAATATACGTAATAAATATTCTGTTTTCTTTACTTTGCTTCCATTTTATTGCTTTGTTTCGAATAAATAATGATGTCATTAATATTTTGATGTCATCAAAATTAATACGTAATATTTGAATTCGAAAATTATTAATTTATATATATGTCTACATAAAAAATAAGAGAGAGTGAAAATAAGTACTACATATAAATTTGAAAACATTGAATTGTAAAAAATGATATATATATATATATATATGTATATATGGTATTTATTTAAAACTGTGAATATATATATAGATATTCAGATAAAAATTTAATATTAATATTCAAGAAAAATTATAATAATATATAGCATAAATTTTATGTTGCTACAAACGTTAAACAAAAATATAAAATATATATTTTTTTGATTTATTATATATATCTATTTCTACAATCAATAAAAATTGAGTAAATAAAAAAATTATTATATGAAATTTTATGTTATATATATGTTATTTAAAACAATAATTAAATTACAAAAAATGATTAACTAAATTACTAAAATGATAATGATACTGTAAACTAACAAAAAAATTATACATGTTGGATCTAACATTCCATACATCTCGACAAATGTAAACAGCAGCGTACTCATTAATACTATTATTATTAGAACAATACTTTAATTTGCATATTCGTACGTACATATACATTACATATACATAAGGTAGATTAAGGTGTCATGGTTAATAAGTTGTAATTATGTTAACACACACAATTATTACACACTTGTTTACTTATTGAAAAAAGTAGAAAAATGAAGTTAATTGAAAAACTGGTATAGGATAACCATTAATTTAAATTGCTTTTGTTGATAGAATTCTGTTTTCTAGGAGGTACTGGTTTGTAGAATGTATTATTCTCAAAAATTGTTTACACATTTCGTGTATTAAGTTCCATATATAAGTATAAGTATATTAGATTTTATTAATTTATCTTAATCATATGTAATATGTGCGTGTAAAAATATATATATATATTTTTAATATTCTAAAAATATGTATAAATAATAATACATACTGTATATATAAAGTACAATGCATAAATTGAATAATTACGACTTCTTTATAAGTGTCAGCTTAATCAACCGTTGCAACATTTTACGAAACTAATTTGTGCCCACGCAAGATTCCATCTTCACTTATACTGAGACATTAGCGTGCTAAAGTAGCTACTTAATTATCTGAAAAATCGTGCGTATGAAAGATGTTTTCCCGCGGAAAAGTCATGGATTACGTGCCTAAGAGCTCTCTGATTCCTTTACCGTTATGTTTAGTCTTGCGTCAGTTTTTAAAGTGCCGGTGATGTAATATCGTGCACCTTCTCACGATACTGCAGAAATGAGAGAAGAAAAGATAGAGGCACATGAGTCTAATTTCCCGCCTACGCAACGTGCACGTTGTTGATCATCTGACGTTCTCATCTGACGCATGGAAAGCATCCCTGGGAAGTCATCGGAAATATTTGAGGAATTAATCAGCATTTCGCTGACAATAAATCTTTTAATTAAACTCTTGTATTATTTCGTTATGTATTTAATATAGTACGCGAGTATTATATCTGTTAATGTGTCAAATACTTTGCAATATACACCTGAATGTATTGCAAAGATAAATTTCTTTCGTTCTTATAATTGATTTAATTTAAATTATTTATATTAACTAATATTAAAAACGATAAACGCTATAAATAATCTGTAAAACAATACATTACAACCTAAGAAATTTAAGTTTTCAAAAAAATTTATTTTTTGGAAACACTAATTTCTTTGTAACACAGAAAGAAATTAGTCGTAGAAATAACAGTCTTCACTAGCTTTGAGTCGGTATATTTAATATTAAACAGAAATAATCGACGAATATTTGTTTTTATATTTTAAAATTAAATATTTATATTTATTCTAAGTAGAATTTATTTCTTTGGATATTTATTTCTTCAAATAGAATTATTTTCGATCGAGTTTAAATATTTATCCTATTATTTAACGTTAAATGTTTCTATTTTTATGAATTAATTACATTTTTATATTGATATTATCTATGTTTATGCGTATTTACTAATTTAATAAATATTTATGTGCACAGGTATTGTTCGCCTTGATGGCGAGCGTCAGCATTGTGCTCTGCGAACCACCCCTCAGCAATCAGTACGGCGTTCCCGGAAATTACGCAGGTGGGGGTCATCATGGGGCACAAGGTGGTGGGAATGGATTTGGGGGCCATTACGGTGGGCACGATAGCCAAGATTACACAGATAACGAGGTATTTATAATACATGTCTGTGTCTAAGCAACTTTTAATGGAATTGCATACACGATTGAAGACAATGTTTCCTGTGTCCTATATCTTCATCATAACTTTGCTGTTTTTTATAATTTTATACTTACTAGCTTCTTCTCTCGAAATAGGAATTGATATTTTCTTGACAATTATTATAACCTGTGTGTGCTTAAATTTAGATTTTTTTAAATATTCGATATAAAATATTTTTTATCACATTAAACAATTAAAGTAATTGTAAATTGAATGATTAATAATACAAAGTTTAATTTAGCAACAATACAATCGCTAGTACGGATGCAAAACGTAAAAGAAGTGATTTAGAATGTTTACGACAACGAGATATTGCAATTGTCCGATTAAAAAATTTATGCAATACAATCTGACATAACGTGGGATCGAATCCCGGCCTCCTATCATCTTTGATCTTCATTCGATGATTACTTCAATAGCTGGTGCAACATGTTTTGCGAAATCAGGCTTCAAATTGCGTGATCATAATTAACCCAGACGCTCGTTAAGTAATTAAGTCGTACGTTTTTTATTGATAAATCATTTATAAAATAATGCAAAATAATTGATACCAATTAGCAATAGAGAAACATTTTAATTTTTGTAAAGCGTCACTTTCGAGGTTGCGATTCCAGTTTGTGAATTTAGGATGACTCATGATAAATCAATACTTCGCCGACGATTTTGAAGATTGCACAATACGAAACATTAAGGACAAAGTATATTACATCACCAAACAGACGCTCTTTTGTACTTAAGAAAATGCAGATTCAGAGTGCTGCTTTCTAAAGCTAGATCCTTGCCCTTAATGTATGTATCGCCGATTATTCTAACGAGTCTTGCGAAAACGTGAGGCACTCCCGAGGTCAAAGTTGATTATTTCAGATCTAGATTCGGTTACATCTTAGAAGTAACATTGAACTCTTCGGATAAAGAAAGGTCTGACCTCATTTCGTAAATCTCATCCGGAGGAGTGCGCTCTGAGCTTGAACTAACTCTATTTTCTGAATGACCTCATGATTTTTTTGTAGCCGGTGTGTAGGATGATGAATCTTGAATTACTCAATATTATATTATGATCGAGATGTTTCTTTTATCTTTTATAATCTCTCACGATTTACAGCTGATATCATCATGAGATATCAATACTAACCACTTATGTACCTCAAATTGATATTTAAGCTACATCATTTCTCACAGCGAGACATTTATTATGACACCTTCAGTAGTATTAATTAGAATAAAATGATCCACTGACCGCGAATAGATGCTGATTAGGGTTGAGAATTCATTTGTTTTAAAATATTGTAATGATTAAAATTAAATTTTTCAAATTTTTTTGTTTCATTTAATTTAATACACTTTTTACACTTTCAATATTTTTTTATTTTTTAAATTTAAATAATCATATTTATTGGAAAGGTATATATACGTCATAATGATATTACATTATTACGATAAAATGTATAGTTAAGCAAAAAAATTAAATTTCTTACCGTTCTCACATTTTGGAAAAAACGAAATCGTTGCATCTCTTTCGCACGAGCAAATCATCGCTTTGCACAATATATCTCGCAATCAATTAGGTTAAAAATCTATGATCGAAAGATGCTTTATATATTCTGCTCTCAGCTTACTCGTACATTGTTTGAACATGGCGCGATTACGTTAATCGAAGATCGACGCATCGCGCTCAAGTGTCTCGAGATGCTACAAATTCGAGTCCGAGAGCGAGAGCGTGGCGCAAACGGAATGATGTAACAATATTAATAGGGTGAACCGCGACCGCGGGCATAATTCACGGTAAATCGTTATTGCTGGTTAGCTAATCGGGGATCTGAGCGCTCGCGAGATGCGCGTTCGCATCTCGCGCGGATCTGCCCGTCGGCGAGCAAACCGCTGCTGGTGATAGTAGCGGTGATGGTTGTATGAGCCAGATTAAATCGCGGCGGCTTCTCTTCAGCATCGTCGTCCGCTCTACTTTGTCGGGACGAAGGAAGGAAAGCTTGTCGTCCTGACTAGAGGTTGCGTCATTGCTGCATTAATAAATGTGCATCCATTCCAGTTATTTTTTCATGTATCACCTTTCCTCATTTATCTCCGTACCTTTACATAATGCCTCCTTTACTCCATCTCTCTACCTTTTTCTACATTTTCTTATCATCTTCTACGAAAAAGATAAGGGAGTGAAAACAAATTTGAGAATATTTGTATCTGATTTTGCTTCAGCCCAAGGCCTATGAGTTCGGTTATTCCGTGAAGGACCAGGCTACCGGAAATGATTTCGGTAGGCAAGAGACGAGCGATGGCGAGACCGTCCGTGGTGAGTACAGAGTGCAACTTCCGGACGGTAGGACGCAGATTGTCACTTACACCGCCGACTGGAGGACCGGTTTTCACGCCGATGTGAGGTACGAAGGTACCCCGGTTTATCCGGATCAGTATAACACGCAGAACGCCGGATACGCTGGTCAAGGTTTCGGTTACCAGGGAAATCAAATCGGCGGTGGAGGCGGTGGATATACCGGAGGTGTGTAGCATAGAACGTTTAACATTTCGCTGCTAACTCTTTCAAACACGGTACATCATACTTGATTTACGTATTTAAAAATACGGTTCAGCATTTTTCAGAGAGCAAAAAATATTCATTCGACTGAATAAAAAATATGTAGATAATTAATATAAATCGAGAAATTAATTTTACCAGCGATTTATAATTTTGATAATTTAGACTGCTTGTAATTTTTATGTAGAATGTGTGTCTGTTTTTATGAATTAATTGTTGTTGCATTATAAATAACACTATTAAGAAAAGATTGTAGAAAAGCGAATTTTTTTACGAGGTGATACTCGTGAAATATACTGGAACAAAATCATTTGAATATACATATATTAGAAGTTGTCATAAATTCCTCATTTCTAAAATTCCATAATTTCTGTCTTGATTTCCAGACAAAATTTCATGATTTTCTTTGATGCTTTCAAGTATTTTGAAATTTTTTGTATTTTTGTCCTGATTTTGAAACCATGAAATATTTTGTTGAGTCCATTTAACATAGCAATGTGAATTACTATTACTGTTGCTGATTTAGTTGTTAAGCTGGTAGTATTTCAAACCTGCGTAGATGTGTGACGTATATATTAAATTTTTTTAAAAGTAAGAATTTTCATTTTCCATAAAATTTCGCAAAATTTCCCGATTTCCCTGACCGTGTTCAATTTCCCTAATATTTTCATAATTTCTCTTATTTTCAATTTTGTGGCAATCCTACATATATATTAAATATTTTGTTCTTTTAAACATATGCTTTATACATACATATATAGATATATTATGTATAATTTTTATTATTGTTAGAGATTCCGCGAGTGCATTACATTATCTCTTCACGTTTTACTCAACAGGTAATCAAGGCGGTTACAATTATCCATCTGGCGGCGGACACTACGATAACAACCAGTTTGGTTCTAATGCCATAGACAGCAGTTACAATAACTTCGGTGGAAGGAATAATTATCCGGGAATACCGTCACCCACGTACGGTCCTGCTTTCCATTAGAATGCATAAAAAGTATTATATAGGATATACCGATCCCGCTTGTGAGTGCAGTCTTTTTTCCAATAAAGACATTTTTTCATAAAAATTTCGTATTTGTATAATACCACCAAACCTTAATAGATCACCGTGAAAAAGAGTCATATTTTATATTCAATTTACTATGTGTTTTTTAATTTTATTATTACCAATCATATACATCTTTAACACAATTTCGTCATTTTCTTACAATGTGAAACGTCATGTCAACAAGCACATATATATGTACGTGATTAAAGTGTTGCGACACCAAAACTAATATGTGACAAACGTAACACACTTCCGTTATAATTACACAGTTGTGTATGTGTGTGTGTGAGGGAGCATCTTGATTATTCAACCCTACCTACTGCATTCGCCCTCTGTGTTTATTTCGCATCTCGTAGGTAATCTTAAAGAAGATAGAGACGCGCGCTCCATATTTGTCTTAGGTTTCTCATATGGAAGAGATGAGATAAAACTCTCTTTCCTGTGAACAATTACTCTCTCAAAGGCTTGTGTTAGCTGCATTCCTCTCTCGTGCAAATTATATTCGTAAAAGAAGTTCGTACAGTATTATTTTACTACATTTTAAAGAATATTAACTTTCTAAAAACATAAAATATAAGAGATCAGATATTTTATTATTAATAAACCTTTGTATGTTAATTAAGTATTTTAAAATGTTGTAGTTTATAGATCTTTTGGTAAAAAGAATACTTTTTTTTACACATAATGGCAAATTATTTGCAAAAGACAAAAAAATGTATGCTTTTTTTCTTATTATGTCAAGTTCAGCACGTGGGGTATTTGTAAGTACATCGTCAGAAGATGCTGCTGTTTTGCATTATGTCATCAGGAAGTTTACGTGCCTGTCCGTGGAGATAAACTTTCTCTAAAGTGTAATACCTAAATTGCACACTGCAAGTTTCATTAAATCGCAAACACACATTAGCACACGTATAAAAGTATCTGTGCCATTATCATTCTATATGATCATATCGTGTTAATAGCATAGTAAGAATATAAGATAATTTCGCAAAACCGGTTTATTTAATCTGCGTATAAGATTATTTTAAATAAAGGTTTAGATTGTTAATTGAGTATTCATATTAATTGCAACAACATAATCTTTAATTTCCCGCTATAACTGTTTTCTTATTGTTGCATATAACATATATACATATGATGAATATGTAACATGACATATATAGGAGTTTTTTTATATCTCAATTATATAAATTAAAATTAAATTTAAATAACACATTTATAATATACATATATATATATGATGTACTCGTATATACATGATATACAAATATTAAAAATATTATTAAACAACTATATAAAAATATTAAAATTAATTTAAATCTTATATTAATATCATATCCCTAATACAAATAAAATAATAAAAAACAGATGCAATGAATCTTAAATTTAGCTACCTGTTAAAAATTCTTAAAAATTTTTTTAAATATGTTTATAATAGCATAAAATTATCAATATCTTTTTAGATGCTTGTAAGCATAACAAAATATTAAATTATACGTGATATTACTACTAGTTCTGTTTACGATTTCAAAACTGAAATAGATTTCAGTGCGCGATTTACAGATTTAGATGTAAGTTCACATAAAAAAAATACTAAATACCGCCGCTTAGACAAAAAATAGGATTATATTTTTTTTTATTTATTTTTGACAGTTTAATACAATTTCTTAAAATATTCTTTACAGGAATAGACATTTTTCAGCGAATTCATCATATTTTGAAACGCGACGATGTTATTCGAACATAAGGAAATACTTATGGTATAAAGAAAGTAAAGGCAAAGGTAATCGCGCGCACGCGGACGTCCTTATCCAGGCTGTTACAAATTTGAAACGCACGCGGGTGTCTGTAGAACCAGGCAGTTACAAATTTGAGGCGAATCGAATAGAAGCGAGATATCTAGGACAATCGCGTGCGCGCGAAAAAGGTTCGTAAGATTTACGAGTTCACCCACGAACGAACGAGCAGAAGATATTCCAACTGTATTTATTGGTCCTGTCTGGAGAAAGTCACCGGGTTACATTTTTGCCCAAGTGCGACTCACATGAATCCTCAGACCGATTAAGAAATGCTTCGTTAGGGGATTCCTGTTTGATTTCATCTTTAATGCCCGCGATTGCTCCAATAATATATTTCTCTGTACGAGAATCTCTCCCCTTCTAATTGACTCGTATGTCGAGAGTTGCACGTAATGAAGGAAACGGTCTATTAACTCTGTATGTACTTTTGAATCTTTTTCTTTGTGAATTAAAAAAAATGCAAAATCTTGCAATATTGTAGTATGATTTACTATAAAATTCAATAAAATTGCGATGTATATATAAATGTCTGTTTTTATATTTTGTTTAAAATAACTTATGTTATTTAAAATAATACTGAACATTTTTTTAAATTTTTACAATATTATTAGAAGATACTTATCGAAATAATTTATATATTCGCAAAAATATTATACGTATGCTTTAATGAGATTTAGACACATCAAATTATATCTCATCTTCATTTTGAGCTTTACTTCGATGGCAAATGAATTTTGAAAAGAAAATTTTGAAATGAATTTGAAAAGAATTATAAATCGATTATAAATTAACAATACATAAATCAAATATTTGAATAGTTGCATTAATCTCATATCTATTTTATAAACAATTTATTTTTAGATAATAAAATAATTAATAATGTAATAATAATTTTCTTTATTTTTATTTTAATTACTCTTTGGTTATGCAAATTTTTGTGTTCCTTCATTCTTTGTTCTATTTAACAAAAATCCTTTCAGAGAGCTTCATTATCTAAAAAATTATTATCGTACTTTTGATAAGAAAAAATTGTTGTGTGATATCAACTAATTTCTCGACAGTCCTTGAGAAGTGCTTTATTCAAGCATACCTTCAGGAATGAATGTAAGTACAGTGGACCCGAAAATAGACACCGAGTTGAACTACTGTTTCAGACACCTTTATGCGAAGCATCCAGACACCGATCCCCACCCTGACTTACTTCACACATGTGGAATCTTGCATCTTGAGAGGTGACGTACACGAGCTGCAGATCTGATGTAGCTCGGCCACGGTCTGAAGAAAAGAGGCCCGGCAGAAGAATAACCACGTACCCCACACACGTCTATACAATACGCGTGTAGCACATGCGACGAGCCTTCCGCATCGCGTGGAGCATTGCGTAATGCCGTTTATCCCCGATTACAGAGCAAACCGTGCATCCGCGAGCCTTCACTCAGATGAGTTACGTGGCCACCTATTCGCACCACGCTTCTACCTGCCGATGCCGCATTCGGTACCTATCCATAATTAGTAGCAATTATACCGAGATTAATTAAGCACTCCCGATCGTCGCGTACCGACGAATAATATTACCACATGGATCACGTACGTTTGCTTATTGAGCAAAAATCAAATTATAACGAACTTAACTGTATGCAATCCACAGGGAATCAAATCTAACCGTTTAAATTTGGTAGATCACGAATCTAATACATTTACGAGAAAAAATTTCTCCACACGCACACAATCTATCCCGCTGATATTTATTTCCTTCTTCACTACTTTACGGTGCTTTTATACTTTGTTTAAATTGATAGCAAAAAAATCAACTTTGCGTAAAATTTACATTTTTGTTTTGCTAAACTAATACGTCTTAAACGGTATGAAAGATTCAACAAGATTAAACTTTCTTGCTCTGGCATTCGTATGCGTGAAGTCATTAACGAAGCAATGCGCATAAGTAGGCTGAAGGTGATCGTGATGAATAGAAAGATGGCCCACGCATATACCGGAATCCAACAGTGTTTGTGAAACAGCTGATTAATGTGATGATCGATGTGTCTGGATTAACCTTACGCATACCGAATTTTCAGCCTTAACTCTCAAATTGTCCGAAAAAGACAGAACACGATACGATTCTCGCAGCAAAAATCTTAGTTAATAATAGAAATATAAAACATAATCAAGTCTTAAAAAAAAATTTCTAGAAAAGTTTAAAAAAAGGTTTTAAAAAATAAATGCTTTCTCTCTCTCTTTCTCTCTCTCCCAGAAATTCTACATAATCATATATAGATTCAGCAGTTATAATTCAGCTTACAATTAGAGTAGCGTGATGCATTATATCGTATTGTAATATCATATATTGTAATACCATTATTCTCGTATAATACAAGTCTTATGTAACGTGTAAAATCGCCCAAAATTGTTAAAACGTGCGGCAAAAGGTCATTATGTATCTTTTGTGAATACTTTTGGTGCCACGCCGGCGAAATTTGCAATTTCGACGAAATTACTGCCGCATACATATCTGATTTGTAGTAATATTCCCGAAATAACTTACCATAAAGATACTATCATTATATTGTAATTACGAGATCGTCGACAAAAGTGCTGGAAATTCGCGGTGTGCAGTTAAGTTATTGGTGATCAGTTCACTCACGCGAGTATGTAAATCGATATCTTCGAAAAATTACTTAAAAAAAAAAAGATAAAAAGATGCCAAGTATTCGCGCTTGTTAAAAAAAACTTTTTACGTATATTTATATAAAAATACACATATATATAATAAATGTATAATAAAAAGATTTATTATTAAGAGCGAATAAGATATAAAATTTTGTATAGTAATTCGTGCGAACGTTCTTATTAATTAATGTAATAAGAAACAAATATAATATAATTTTTAGCGCACAAATTACTTCGCAAAATGTTGTACTATTATACTCGCCCTTTATTATTAAAATAAAATTTTATTGTTAAAACTTTTTTTTTTTAATTAGTTACTTGTTGCTCAAATATAGCAACTTTTCTATCGTACTGTAATCAGATGTGATGTATTTTTATTAACAACAAAATAATAAAAATTAATCGAGTAACTCGTAATATTAATTATCCAGACTTTTTACTCAGCATTTAAACCATTACTTTCTGTTAAAAATAACGAGATATGTGTGTAGATATATTTTA